AGGCAATTTTTCAAATGATATAGTGATATATTTAAAATCGAAATGGAATTTAACTAAAATAATTTGATTACAATACTTTGCAGATTAATTACCATGCAACATTTAATGAAATTTAATGAATGAATTATCAATTACAGATTAGTATCAGCAATTCCTGATATTGCTGTTTTTTATTTCGCAAAAGATCTCTTATTAACTGATCATGAACGAAATGGATAATTGGAAAAAGCGATCAAAACACCTGAGCTAATTATCAGTTCAATTATTATTGTCCTTTTCAATAGTCTTAAAGTTGGAAAAAATTCAAAATGTCAACTGCTAATTAATACATATTCCTGAACAAAAAAAAAAAAAAAAAAAGACGAGATAACGGGACAACTGATATATTATCATCAATTTCAACGATATTATGATACACCTGGATTACTCATTATAATTTATATGCTATATTTCCATTCCAATTATTTAAAATTGTTTTTTTTTAAATTTGAAATTATCAAAATTATCTGGATATAACTTGTCTTATAATTTTAATAATATGAATAGGCATGTATTTTTAATTATGCTAATTACATACCTGTTATATCCTCTCATTTCTGTTTGTCCTTTTAGGGTGTTCTTGCTTTTCTTTTTTCAATCAATTTCAGAATAAAATATTTGATGATATGATTATCATTTGAATATTACATTAAGATCAATTAATGGAATGATTTTTTCTGGTTTTAAATTTGAAATTATTAATCGAAAATTTTGTTTCAATTACTTCAATTTTTACTTTCCCTTTTCTTATCACCTATTTTTTTTCTTAATTTCATTCTACAAACAAAATAATATAATATTGTTGGGAAATTATTTGCTGTAAACTGTTTCACTTTTAAATTAAAATGAAATAAAAAATATTATAATTAAATAATTTTAAATCCAAAATTGTTAGGTTTTTTTTTTGTAAGAAAAAACGAGTTTTAGGTGTGTGTTTTTTTTTCAGAATCAATATTTTTCCTTAGAAAAATACGACAATAGTTGAATTTTTTAAAAAGTCATTAATTATGTTGTAATTAATTTCAATTCTGACTAATTGATTTCAATTCAAACATCGATTCTAATGAATTTACCAAATTTGACAATATGTTTTAATACATAATTGTTTTTTTTCTTTCAATTTGTTTGTTCTAATTACCTCGCAATAAAATAATAAAGTTTCACATAAAAGATTGAAATTGTTGTTTTTGAAAAATTAAAATTACAATAGCAAATGCTTATTTGGGTGTTATTGCTAAATGAAATGATGATAGTAACAAAGGAAAATGATAATTTAAAAAATAATCACATTTTTTTTGGTCGCAAAATTGATTATTTTAAAATTTAGAGTAAGGAGTAATTAGTGGAACATATGATATCAATCATATTTATAAAATACGGCAGTGAATTCAAATTGTTGACAGTAATATAACTAACCAGAAAATTACGTATTACACATTAATTATTGTCAACAATTATGGCTGATTAATTAATTATTTGCAGATGCCATGACATGTCAACAAAATTAAATTAAGCAATTATGCTAATGTAAATTATTGATATATACATATATATATTTTTTTTAATTACGAACAATTATATTCGCAAACGAAATTTTAATTTAATTCATCACAATTTTTCAATTTTCAATTATTAATAAGTTAATTGCTAAATTTTCAATTATTAATTTTCAATTATTGATAAGTTAATTGAATTATTTTCAATTATTAATACAGTTAATTGCTAAATTCATACAATTAATTATCAATTAATACGGGAAAAAACATGCGAAAGGCAACTAATTAATTAGTCAAACACTTAATTATATCAATTTCTAAATGCATTTAAAGTATTCAAGGGAAAATTTACTTGTCCCAATTATAGCAAGTCAAATTTTTATTAATTGAAGTGTAAGTACAATTTCAAACTGTAAGCAAATGATAGCATATTAATGCTACTTTAAATTCTTTAATTATTATACAATTTTGATGTGTAAAAAGTAAACAAAAAAAAAGATATATCATTGTTAATTATTAGAAAAATAATTCAAATGCAAATGCTGTCGTAATTTCGTCAAAGAATTTATGCGTAATCAGAAAATATAACCAGAAATTGAAAATACAAAAATATAACCGGAAATTGAAAATATAAAAATATAACCGGAAATTGAAAATATAAAAATATAACCAGAAGTCGAAAATATGAAAATGTAACCGGAAATTAAAATTATAGCCAGAAATGAAACAGATTGAAAATGTAGAAATGACACCTAAAATTAGGATTTGATATATTGAAATCAAAAAAAAAAGGACCAGAAGTTGTGAAGGAAGTGAAAGGTTAAAAAGAAATGGAAGAAGCAAAAGACGTAAAAAGAAGTGAGTAGAAGTAAAGGAGAAGTAAAAGAAGTATGACTGATTTAAAAAGAAGTAAAAATTTTAACTTTTGATAAAAAAGTTAAAAAGTAAAAGTTAAAAAAAATAGATAAAAGTAAAAGTTATCAGTTAAAATAATTTCAAAATTTCACAAAATTCAAAAATGTCTCGCTAAAATTAAATGCAGAAAATTTTACGTTTTTGCATAAAATTTAGCATAAATTTAAATTATTAAATAAAAACAAAAACAAAAAAGAAATTGAATTGTAAGAATTTTTGAATAAATAAATATTTAAAATTTTTAATTGATAATTCTACTTTATTTCATTTCAAATTTGCATACAATATTTACCTCAAAGAATAACTCTTTTTTGAAAAAAAAAGTTTTTTTTTTTTTTTTTTTGGAAAGAATTTTCATTTGTAATATCATTAGTAACTAAAAAAAAAAGAAATAAAAATGAGATTTTTGGCTAAATTTTCTCAGATTGTTCTCAAAATTTTTACCCCTATTCAAGTTTAATACCTATTTTACGTTTCCGGAATTACATTAAGTGGTTGTGTACACAGATACACACAGGTACACAGACACACATACAGACATATGCAAATACAAACACACAAGCTCTATCTTTCACAAACTTTCATCTTTATTTGATTTAACATCTATCGAATTATGGATGACCTTTCGTTTTCTCTCATGATTTTCTGATCTCAAGTAACCTTTTGATGACCTTGTCTGTTGCATTCATTATTCGTTTATTCAAGCATATTTTTCTTTTAATAATATATATATATTTTTTTTTGCTTTACAAATTGCTTTCATTTATTAGATATGTTCCTTTTTTTCTTTTTATTTGTTCAATAAATTTCTTGCACAAATAACAGATCATTGATGCAATATGCATGACAAATAAGAATGCTTGACATATAAGTTATTTGTTATGTAATAATATTTTCATTGATTATACATTTCATCACTTATCATATAGAATGCTTACTTATGATTGAATTGTAGAAATAGTTATGAGATATTAATAATTGTTGATAAATGCCATATAAAAAAGCCTCGAAAGTTCTGATCATATTTGATAACAAAATTAGCGGACCAATGATCAATATATTGATTAATTGATCCATTCTTAATGAATGTCTCCATAGATACTAATGATATCATCAAATTATCACCACCACTTTTATTTCATTCATTACTAAATTATACGATTATCATCTATTCATGATATATGTCGTACCTTTTTCTTTTCCTTTTTTTTTTAAATAGATCAAAGAACAAAATGATAATACGAGTTTTAATTTGAAAGAAAAACCGGAAAAAATTTTACATTTAACTTATTGATTGTATTTAAAAGATATCAACGATTAGATTCAAATTACTAGAATATTATTCTTTTCAATCACAAAACCGGAATCAACGAACAGAATCATTAATCAGAATCTTATTCTTTCAATCTCAGATTAGAATCATCGATTAGAATTCGATATCTTTTCAATCTTGAACCAAAATCATCAATCAGAATCTTATCTTTCCAAATAATTGTCAAAATTTTTCCTTTTCCTCATTATCACCAAACATATTATATTACTTAATATAAACAATAAATATATTATTCAATATTTCTCATAACAATATTGTTAAATGATTATTTATGATAATAAATGATCTGATAATTTGTTAATAGTTTGCTTTATACAAAGAGAAATTGTTTATTATCAGATGTTATCAGCTGTTTACGTCTTTCTTTTCCTACGTTGATTTTTCAAATTTGTTAGGATAATTGATAGGATTTAAAATTTTTTTCCCTTTGAATAATTGAAAAAGGACATTAATTAAGTAAACTTTCACTTCCTAATTATTCTAAAAAAA